CGAAGTGAAAATGTTACACAATATAGGCCCAAGAATGCTACCCTGAGGAACTCCTGCTCTAACAGGCAGTCGATTAGATTTGGAATTTTGATAATTTACCTGCAGAGTTCTGTCAGTTAAATAATTTTGAACTAATTTCATAATGTAAAGTGGAAAATTAAACCTTTTCAATTTAGCAATCAAACCTTCATGCCAAACACTGTCGAATGCTTTTTCTATGTCTAGAAGAGCAGCTCCAGTTGAGTGGCCTTCAGTTTTGTTTGAACGAATTAAATTGGTAACTCTCAAGAGTTGATGAGTAGTTGAATGCCCATGGCGAAATCCAAACTGCTCATCTGCAAAAATTGAGTTCGTATTGATGTGAAGCATCATTCTATTCAAAATTATTTTTTCAAAAAGTTTACTTATTGAAGAAAGCAAACTTATTGGACGGTAGCTAGAAGCTTCAGCTGGATTTTTATCCGGCTTCAAAATTGGAACAACTTTTGCATTTTTCCATTTATCAGGAAAGTATGCCAAATGGAAACATCTGTTAAATAATTTTACTAGGAAAGACAAGGTACTCTCTGGGAGTTTTTTGATGAGGATATAGAAAATTCCATCATCACCTGGAGCTTTCATATTTTGAATTTTTTTAGTTATAGACCTTACTTCGTCCAAATCAGTCCCCCAGGAATCATCAAAAATATTTTCCCGAGAGAAAATATTCCGAAAATCCCGAGCAACCTGATTCTCAATAGGACTAGTAAGACCCAAACTGAAATTATGGGAACTCTCGAATTGCTTAGCAAGTTTCTGAGCTTTTTCCAAATTTGTGATCAAAATTTTACCACCTTCTTTAAGCGCTGGAATTGGCTTTTGAGGTTTTTTCAAAAATTTTGTGAGTTTCCAAAAGGGTTTGGAACTCGGGTCTAATTTAGAAACATTATTTTCAAAAGTTTTGTTCCTCAGGGCCGAGAATCGCTTTTTAATTTGTTTTTGCAAATCCCGCCAGATAACTTTCATGGCAGGATCGCGTGTTCTTTGAAATTGTCTCCTACGGACATTTTTAAGACGGATCAAGAGCTGAAGATCATCGTCTATTATAATTGAATCGAATTTAACCTCGCATTTTGGTACTGAGGCAGCTCTTGCTTCAACTATAGAAGTAGTCAGAGATTCAAGAGCATAATTAATTTCATCTTTGGTTTGCAAAGGAATGTTTGGATCGAAGTTATATTCCATAAATGTTCGATATTGCTCCCAATCAGCCCTATGGTAATTGAAAGTAAAGCTGTTGGGAATAGAAATTATTTCTTGGGATATTTCAAAAGTTACTGGAAGGTGATCAGAACCGAAGTCAGCATGGGTAACCAATTGGCTACAAAGTTGACATGAATCAGTTAAGACCAAATCAATAGTTGAGGGATTTCTTGCAGAAGAAAAGCATGTTGGGCTGTTTGGATATTGTATAGTGTAATAACCTGCAGAACAATCATCAAACAGAATATTACCATTGGAATTGCTTTGAGCATTATTCCATGAGCGGTGTTTTGCATTAAAATCACCAATAATGAAGAATTTAGACCTATGACGGGTAAGTTTCTGGAGGTCACCCTTGAGAAAATTCTTTTGCTGGCCTACGCATTGGAATGGCAAATAGGCAGCTATAAACGTAAGTTGTCCAAATTTTGTTTCAACAGAAACTCCCAAAGTTTCAAAAACTTTGGTTTCAAATGAAGAAAGAATTTTATGCTTGATTCGTCTATGAGCAATGATGGCAACGCCACCACAGGGTCCATCAAGACGATCATTTCTATAAATCAAGTAATTTGCGTCCTTCTTAACCTTATGGTCAGGTTTAAGGAACGTTTCAGTTATAACGGCAATATGCACGTTATGAACTCTCAAAAAATTAAATAGCTCGTCTTCATTATCTTTAAGAGATCGAGCATTCCAATTTAAAATGTTTAATGCTTTAAAATCCATTACTGAATTTTAAAGTCATGACAATATTATTAGCAAATTTTACTCCAGTTTGAATAGCATCAAACATGGAGTTAGATTTAAGCATATCAGAAATCATGTCAATTAATGAATTCTGTAAAAATTCCATTTTAGGAACAGTAATGCTTCCTAAGTCAAAATTGTCAAAATTTCCGTTAGAACGTTGGTTAGTATTTTGATTTCTACCCGCTGCAATAGCAGCATAGGTAGCTCCATTAACTCGCTGAACATTGTTAGCAGCAAGGGGAATAGGTACAGATGAAACATTTGAAGCAGGGGTGATATTTGTACCTACGGGTACGAATGTAGAATTTGTTCCTCGCTGACCGTTGTTAACAGCAGAGGAATTTGTACCTGGTCGGAAACGTGGAGCGTTTCCTACCTGACGGTTAGAACGAGATTGTAGGATCGCTTTGCGAGTCTTACATTCCCAAAAATTGGATTTGTGGTTTTCACCACAATTTGAACATTTAAATTTCTTAGGATCTTCCTTCACAGGACAGTCGTCCTTTGCGTGAGAGGAATCACCACAATTCAGGCATTTAGCTGGCATGTAGCAATTTTTAGTTCCGTGACCCCATCCCTGGCACTTACGGCACTGAGTGAGGTTTTGGAAATTTCCTCCAGTCTTCCTGAAGTGTTCCCACTTCACTCGGACATGGAGCATAAGGCTAGCTTTTTCTAAGGCCTTAAGGTTGTTTAGTTCACTAGACTTGAAGTGAACTAAATAAAAATCATTAGAAATCCCGTTGCGCGAATCGCCAGGACGGGATTTCATTTTCATTTTGATTACTTGGAGTGGCACAACTCCAAGTAATTTTGCCAGTTCATCTTTGATCTGATCCAGGGATTCACCACTGGGCAGTCCTTTCATGACAACCTTGAACACACGTTCAGTTTCGGTGTCGTAAGTAAAAAATTTGTGCTTCTTCTCAGTAAGATACTTGAGAAGACATTTAAATCCATCCAAGGTTTCAGCCAATACACGGCATTCACCCCGACGTCCAATTTGTAGTGAAAACTTAACTTTCACGAAATTCAAAAGTTCCATGCGAAGAGCATGGAAATCGGTAGTGGTTATCACAATAGGGGGAATCTTTTCCTTCTTGGCATTAAGCCGGGAAAGTTTACTAGAATTTTTCTTGGATGATGGATCATTCTCATCATCCGTGAGCAAATCAAATTGATTACTCAAATTAATTTCTTCAGAAGGGGGGTCAAGAGTTTGCCCCTTTCTTTTGCGTTTAGGCGCCATGGCGGCAGTAAATTTTTTATCCAAATCGACTTCCAAGCAGATTACTATAAGAATCTGAAGGATCGAAGAGGAATTTTCCAAATCGATATCCAAGAAGGATTACCTCGGGTAGGGTCCAAACAAGGATCGAAGAGGAATAAGAGGAGTTGAACAAGGTAGAAAATTTTTACAGGTTGAGCACTGAAAAGTGCTGTTTAAATTTGTTGTAGCTTTAGGTAGTAGTAACACTTCCTTAAGCAAAAAGCAAATAGATCCGCACGGCAAGAGAGCACGATGCGGACTGACCGGTGGTCATATTGTAATTAGCATAGTATAGCATATACCTAGTCGCACAATTGTGTAGGTAGTACAAGCTTCAAACTGTTTGCTAAGAAGAAGACCCATATTCATCCGTAGCAGTTAGATTGTAATTTGAGATTAAGCACTATCTCATAGATAAAGGATGATTAACCGGCCAGAGTTGTCCTGGCCACGTCCATGCAACTGCTGAGGATGGGGAAGGAAGTTCAGTCCGAGATTAACTTAAGAGAGATGCAGAGTACTCTACTACACATAAATGTGACAGGAATTTGGGAGTTTTCATTAGGGAAGGGATGCCTAGGATACGTCCAGTCGGCGTTTCTGGCAATCATTAAGCTTGAAGATGTTAATTTCAAATAACAGACTAATGTGGTAATTTTAATACGATAGAGTAGGGTAGGCTAGAGTATGGCAGTGTTAAAATTGTATTAAAGAGTAGAAAGCGAGCAAGGACAACTTTGAGGAAGGTACGAATCGGATTGATCATCTCTCTTATTCAAAGTCCCCAGTTGGAGAGGGATGGAGAGGGGATAAAGGGGAGGGGATTCCTTGAAAATTTAGGCTTTTTTGCACAACATTTCAAAAAATCAGCGACGTGTTTAATTTGTTAATTTTTGAGTAATATCTTTTTTTAAGTTCAAGTTTTGGGTTTTCGCTAAATACTCCTATGCGACTAGACTACCTTGCATCTTCATCGATTTATAGCGACTGTAACATTGTCACATTATCTATACTTATTTCAATTTTGGACTATTGAGCAAGAACCCAAATCTTGATAACTTAAAAAATCTTAACTCAAAAACGAAAGAAAACACATCGCTTTTTTTTAGTGTAGTGTAATAAAACCTTAATTTACAAGGAAAAATATAAAAATATATTGCGCCCTTTGTCTACAAAACATAGAAATCATAAAAAAAACACAATCAATGTTTTCCCACAAAATCCAAATTTTTAACATTATTATATTTTCCCAGAAAAGTAGTTTTAATTACCTTTCATTTGATATTTTGTCCTTTAAAATCGGTCCAGTGGTTTAAAAGTTTTGAAAAAAAAATCGATTTTTTAACCAATGTAACATGGAAACAGTCTCCCTAATGATAAAATAATAATAATGTTTTGCGATAAGAAACACTATCAATTATTAAGACATTCTTAGAACCAATTTATCGTTTTACTATGGAATAGCTGTGTATTATTATTTTATTTCTGAGTTGTTTCAGCCTGCCATTCATAATCGGGATTCAATCCGAATATAATATTGGTGGGAACATACCACCGTTAATTTATCTTCGAAACTGTTGGTCTCAGACACTTTTACATACGAAATATTTCCAAATAATACACATTAATTTGAAACATTGTGTGATGGTAGCGCCACTCTCCACCTCACATGCTCTGAATAAAATACGCACAGAAACGACCCCTAATTCCCTGTACCAAAAACATCCAATCAACTCACCATCGACATCGTCGCAAATCACCAGCGGGCTTTTGCCACCCAGTTCCAGCGAAACCTTCTTCAGATTAGTCGCAGCACCGCTCATCACTATTTTGCCCACTTCAACCGATCCAGTGAAGGCCACCTTACGAATTTCCGGATGCATGGTGATTGCATGGCCTGCCGTTGGTCCGTAACCGGGAACTACATTAATCACACCGGCAGGAAAACCAGCTTCCTTAACCAGCGAACACATGTACAGGGCGGTGAGAGGAGTCTGCTCGGCCGGTTTCATTACGATCGTGCATCCAGCCGCCAGGGCTGGTCCCCACTTCCAAGCCAACATCAGCAGAGGGTAATTCCACGGAATGATCTGTCCAACTACTCCGATTGGTTCCTTCCGGGTGTACGTTAGATGTGGTCCATCCGACGGCACTGTCTCACCGCTCACCTTATCTGCCCAGCCGGCATTATATCTCAGGCAGTTCACCGACCCATACACATCATATACGGCGCTGATGAACGGTTTGCCATTGTCCAACGATTCCAGACTGGCTAATTGGAGTTTATCACGCTCCATCAGATCAGCCAACTTGTAGATCAGCTTTCCGCGGGCCGAGGCATCCATCTGTCGCCATGCGGAGCTTCGCTGGAAAGCGGCCTTTGCCGCCTTTACGGCCAAGTCAACATCGGCCTTATCTCCCTCGGCAATGTCCACAATCTTCGTACCCGTTGACGGATTGACCGTGGGGAACACTTTACCATTCACAGCATCAACAAATTCGTTGTTGATGAAGATCTGTCTGTACTTGATCTCCGGATTAGGGTTAGCCATTATGAAGCAATTTTGTAACGTTCCAAAACAAAAATCTAACAGAACTACAAGAGTGAAATAATACGTCCGATTGCGATGGAATGCCTTCCAAAACTGTTCAGTTGAGCCACGCACACGCCCGGTACCAGTTGTTGACCGGCTGCCGTATTTTAAATAGCTTGCTCCGGCGTGTTAGTGTGGTATATTTATATAGCGTTCTTTGCTACCTTCCTACTTTATCAGCGATCGCCTTTGCCCGCACGAGTTGATGTTTGTTGCGCGAGTGGTAGGTAGGTTAAATATCTAATTCCCGTCATACTAAACACAATCCGCACTGCACCTCGCAATTTCGAACGAGTTTGAACAATTAATTTAATGTTTCTATCAAAGATGACTACGGAATTTATTTACCTATTCCTAAGTAGCGTTAGATTTGACAAAGAATCACACATTGTTGACAAATTGTTAAAAAGCTAACACTGCTTCTTGATTCCAAATCCTTCATACGAGCTTCAATTCCATCCAAACACATTGAAACGCAATTAGATTAATTTCGGCACACGGATGAAGGCAGGAAAATGGACTTTGTTTTGTAGCTTTTGAAGTGAACTTTTTTTTTAATACTTCATTATTGTGATTTTCAGACGTTAGCTTAACTAATAGCGAATCTGTTTTTGATTCAGTTCCAACCTGGATCGGGTATCCAGATTGGGTCAAACATCAGTGTGAACATTTGTTTTGTAACCTGGCTCGGGTTCAGGTTCGCACTGACAATTTCGGTTTCGCACGGGTTGGAACTGGTTCCAACCTGGATAATAATCAAATTCGCTATAACTCATTGATACATTTGATGTGTCTGCTCGATATGACGGAAATGGGCGCTTATGCCGAAGTAGTTCTCTTCCCTGCGAACTTAGGTCTAGGTGCAACACTGCATGCCTGAAAGCGAGACCAGAACATTGAGTTGTGTGAGAAGAGCGACTGCCTTGTGATTAATTTTTTGGCCGTCGGTTGATTGCGTCGGTCTGTTTTTTTCAGGGGGGGTTCAAATGGATTATTTTTGTGGAATTGTGCTTTGTTAGCACGTCGCGTCGAGGAAGATAAGATACGGAGATGGTCGATTGAAACTATGCTTTGGTAGCATTGTGCAACGTAGGTACTAATGACAAGCAATTTTGCGGTCTCACCATGAAACATAATTTTGTCATGCGTTATGTGATACTGCCATTTCATTAAAGCTGATAGTCTGACGCTAATAAAATAAAACGTATGAAATGCTTTAAACAGCTTGTTAAAGACCACCATGATAGTGACTCCCGAGTTTTAGAACTTTACTAATTTTTCTTTTTTTTTCATATTCAGTACGACGCAGCAAAATACGACGAATTCCAAAATGTAGGGAATTCCAGCGGTAATGGAAAAGATACATTGCACAGTGCTGCCAAGGCACACTGGACCAGGAATGCAATCTAGCGGAGCAAAATTAATAGCTCCGAAACGAAGCATTTCCGCGACTTAGTGTGTTGTGCAAGGTTTCTCATCATAATAACATCTACAATCTATTGACATAAACAAATAGTTCAAAACTCTTCCGCAAAGATGGCGCCACAATCTAATTTCCTTCTCTGACGTTTTGGAGACTTGATGTCTTCGGTAGAGTTGTTTATCTTGACAAAATAAAAAATTCTTTAGAATACTTAAAATTTCCACAGCCTACTGACTCCGAGTTTTTTTTGAAGTAGCAAAAGAAAAAAAAAATGTTGAAATATGATTTTTACCCTTCTTACAAAGAAGGGTATAGATATCACTTGAAAAACCGACTATCGATCCGAGGCCCGGAGGGCCGAGTGTCATATACCATTCGACTCAGCTCGACGAGATCGGAACATGTCTGTGTGTGTGTGTGTATGTGTGTATGTGTGTATGTGTGTATGTGTGTATGTGTGTATGTGTGTATGTGTGTGTGTATGTAACGAAATGAATGCGCTCACGTTTCTCAGCAACCGCTCAACCGATTTGGACAAACTCGGTGCCAAATGATAGGTCTTGGGGTCCCATTGAACGCTATTGAACGGTTCCGGAGATATGGCCGGAATAATATCCGGTGAATATGGGCCTTCACGCTGGATTTAACGGAAAACGTATCAAAACCATCATGCGACACATCAAATTACTACAGAATTCAAAAATAAGATCAATGCAAGTCGTGTTAAGTGTTCCAGACCACATTGGACACACTTGGACATGTTCCGGGTACCCCGGGGAAGTTGCTTGAATATGAATTGAATTAAAACCCATTAAATCACATTAAAATACGATGATAAGGTGATTGGTAGCCTCACCAAATAGACTACACCCGGATATATTCCGGGTACCCCCAGGCAGTGGCGTAGCGTCACTGGATGACACGGGGGTGGGGGGCTTCCCAAGTAACACAGAAAACATGTTTACGAAAAAAAAAAAAAAACTATTGTTGTATAAAAGTTATATAGAAGTAACAAAAAACTTCTTTGGTATTTTAAAAGCTATAACAATGTTTTTTAAAAACAATATTTCTGCATCTAATTTTCTGAAATTACTGGACAGATCATATTCTATAAATGTCGTATAAATGTTCTGATTTCATTCCTTATTGACTTGCATCTACCTGTTGGTATAGTTTGTTTGCTAGGGCGTTTATTCGCAAGAAATAGGCGATTGAAGTTTTTGTTTACTCAACTTACCACGATTAACTGTTTTTGAGGAGATTTTAAACTGTACGTCTTTACTTCAAATTTCGCTTTCTTTTTTAAGGCCATCCGCGAGTTCCTAGTTGTAGCTGAACAGCATCTTTGGAATCCGTTATTGTTTCGAGTCTGGATATCACGTCTTCTGCTCTACGATAGCTTCCGGCTCGACCGACAACTTTACAGTTCTGTTTTTCCACGTCACCACATTTCGGGCACTATTCATATCCGTTGAAAGGGAAATACAATTGTGTGGTGGCCACAGAACATGGCCGTCTTTTACCCATCTTGACGGGACAATTGTGAGAATAGGTTTCGGTTTTTTTGTTTTCCTTGTTTAGACGACAGCAAAGGTCATTTTTGTTATTTTATAAAACAACACGAGCAAATAAGCTACATTTTACTGCTAACCGTGAACTCTTCAAACAAACTAATGAAATTGTTCATTTATGATTTAGTACTGTCTGATTCGAATGTTCTTAAAAGGTTATAATGATGTCGTAAATACCACACCATAACTACTCATAGATGTTTTCTATTGTAAGTTGTATGGAAGTAGGGGAATTTACGTATTCTCGTCAATCTAAGCAGCTTCCGCACTTCTATTAGCATTTTCTCAGTGTCACGACCACATATGACGTGTCTGTTTGTTTACATTCATCTGCTGCTAGCTATTCTATCCATTCCAATCAACAAAACTGTCCAAAACGGTTTGAAAACGTTTTTAACGCGCTCCAAACTTCTCAGGCGTGTGTGACTATTGTCGGCAGCCTCTTTTACTTCGGCAACCTCTCCGTTTAAACTGCGTGTTAACCAGCTGTTCTATTATCGGCAACTCGAAACCAGCCGTATTTTGATGTGCTTATGTTTCTTTTGAAGAAACACCTAGCATAACAGGTTTGCTCAGTCGTAAAAATGTATTAGGATTGAAGCTGAAAGACTAAGGAATCGTTTAAATACATTCAGCGAAGTATTTTAGTGAGAAAATACATCGAAATTAACGTTTAAATTGTGGTTGCCGAAAACAGTCGATGGCTGCCGAAGCCATAATTTACCCTATTATACATGTTTATTTCACACCCTTAATACTTCATGCTGACAGAACTGTTCCTATTGGTGGATTTTGTTTTTCAATTCGGTGTTGTCCAATCCAAATGTTTTTTCAATGGCATAGTACCAAATCAGAACATCCTACTCATACAGTATTTCAAGTGCAACATTTCAATTAGACGCAACTGCTTTTGTTAACACTGGTTTCGAACGTCTATTTGTCGTTACTTCTCACGCAAACGCCCAACTAACACCACCAACAGTTCTATAAAAATTTCCCCTACAAGATCGTGGTGTTAGTTTGCATGGGTGTGTTACGAGTTACGAAAATGCGAAGTCATTGTTTACAAGCAGTTACGTCGGATTGAAAAGTTTCGCTTGAAGGATGTCAGAACAGCCATTCACATTGTCGGCTAAACAATTTTTAATACTTTTAAGAAATCCAACGTATTCATAATTTTTTTAACATAAAATGGAGCGATGTATACGCTATCATGCCGTATGATTATGCAGTAGAGAGCGGGATTTATTTAAGTGTTTCACCCTCTACAATGTACCGTTCTGATTCATGTAAAATTGTATCGCACTAAATAATTCCAAGGGAAGGTGAACAATTTATTGGATTAGTCATTGTTTCTTTCTGCTTCGGACGCTTTGTCTCAGTATATGGGTGCCCCAAAAATATGTCAAAGAGTCTTAATCAATCTTTCGTATGATACGTAACATGATTAATGAAACGATGAGGAGCTTTTGAGTGGGTTGAGTTGTTTTCTTTTAATTCCGTTATAATTGTTTATCTTTTGTCAGATACGCGTATTTCGTCCACTTCCTCAGTGCCAAGTACTCAAGCACCGCTCATTGTACTATTTGAATACTTGGAACTGAGGAAGTCTGCAAGTAGTAGACGAAATACGCCTATCTGTCAAATATAATTAATTATATCGGAATTAAAGGGAAATAACTCAATAAGCTATTCATAGTCTTTGAATGTATGCTAAGAAATTTGATCTTATTCTATTGAAACCAAAATTCATCAGCTTCAAATTATCAAAATATCTGTATAAATTCCTCAGTAAATCATGTGAATAGCTCAATAATGAACGGTAAGACAATAATATATTGTCTTCGACAAGTTTGTCATTTAAATTAAAACTTTTTAATGTGAAAGACTGTCGTGTTTGGGGTATGATCAATATTTTCAATCGGCAGTTTATTTTTTTATTTTCATGACGCCATGTGTCATTTTTGCTCCCGTCGATCTTCTTTTTATAATTTTTCATAT